ATTATACTATTAAAATAAACTCTATTTAACCGAAAGCTTATAAAAAGGTTCATTTCCCTCAAACTATTTTTAATTAAACTCTTCAATATTTTACCACAAACAACATTTCAAATCTCTTTCGACAAAAAAAATTTCATTTATCTTTCGCTAAAAATAATATTTCGTCTCTCTTTCGCATACATCGTTTTCTCACTTTTTTCACAAATAATATTTCGTCTCTCTCATTTTCTCGCTTTTATCAAATAATATTTCATCGCAAATATGACTAGAAATATGGGTCGAAAAAAGGCTGCAGCAGTACATCGTCAACTACCACACCGCCAGGAAGTGATGCGTCAACAAGAAACTCAGGGAGTAACAGAAACTCATAGTAGCCAAGAAATGGCAGATACTTCACGTCAGCAGATTCCGATAACAACTTCGACACCTTCAAGTAGTGAAGAAACACGTTGGCATATTCCGATAACACCTTTGACGCCTCCTAGTAGCCAAGAAACACGTCGGCAAGTTCCAACAACAATGCCTCTTAGTAGCCAAGAAACACCATATCGACAAGTTTCGACACTAAATCTAAGTAGTCAAGAAATACCAAATCGGCAGATTTCAGCAACTAAAAGTCAATTGAAAATACCGAAATCTTCACGTCGGCAGGATCTGGCAAATGAAAGACCATTCAAATTATTAGTGCCATCAAATATTTCTAAAGAAACTCGACCTCAATCTCCAACTCGACCAGGTGGAGATTATGATGTTTCGCTTAATTATAGGATCGAAGACGAACATCAACATGGCGAAACCTCAACCGCTGGGTATGATTAGAGGTGCTATTCTGGAAGCTGATAACTGGGATCTGCAGGCATCATCAGCTTCCCATCAGAGGATAACCAAAAGGTCTTTAACACATCAGCAAATAGGTAACGAAAGACATTACGATGAAAGGAGTAGCGAAAGGAGTATAACTCCTTATCGTCAACAATTCGACATTTCTCGAGGTGACGAATTTCGATATACTCTATATCAATACACACGAGATCGCAGATTAAGAAGTGATGAAAGGAGTGTAACTCCTTATTGACCAAGAAGGAGAGAAGCTTCTCCTGGAACAACCGATTCTTCGCTGAGCGAAGGTAAGTGTAATTTATTGCAAAATTTTAGCTAATATATATATTTTTAATCAATTTATTGTTAACTTTTCTATGAAAAAGCATATTTACGTGAAAGAATCAACGAGTTGAGCAGGCAACTCAGCAATGCAAATGAAGAATTAAGACATTTAAGAACTGAATTCAGCAAAGTTACTGGAGATAATGAAGCGCTTTTTCGTAAAAATGAGAGTTTGCAGAATGAACTCGGACAAAGCTGATGAAGATGTAGAGATAAAGAAACAGATAAAGGTCATTGAGAAAACAAACTCGATACAGTAGTGAAGAAAAAAGCGATGAAGAAGGGTATGATAATAATGAAGCGGTAAGGGTTCGTTTAAAAACTCTACCTTTTCTGAATTTTAATTAATTTTAACCAATTTTTAATCTAATATAACCTATATCAATCAAATTAACTTAATTTGGCTTTTATTTTTTATAATTTAGAATGAAATGAGAATGATTTTAATGACATTGCTTACTGATCTCGAAATGAGATATGATCTTAAGTTCGGCAGTGAAGAAAATACTGAAATATTATGAAAAGTAATATCACGTCTCGTCGATACGTTAAAAAGATTCAAAATAATATACAAATAAGTCAAGGAGTAGCTTAACGTCCCCCACAGGCATCGACGAATTCATTTATTGTATAAACAACATAGTACTTTAGATTGTGATAATTGGCGTTTACATAAAATCAGTCGCATTAGTAAGGTAAATATCGAAATTATATTTTTAAAAAAAAAAAGCAACTTCAATTAACATTTGATATTTTTAATATAGAAAAAGGTCCGAAGAATCAAAGGTGCCAATTCGCTTTTTGATTTAGGTGATGAGAGAGTTTTGAAATATGATAAGGAAGAGTTATTGAGGATCTTGGAAGACAATCGTTATCATTCCCTGAAGATTCAGAGACAGATTCAGAAGAGAAGGGAAAATGATCAATTAACGTTTATAATCTGAATTGGAGATCAGACGAGGTTTGATAATTTTTTAAAAATTTATTTATAATTTTAGTTAAGTTTTTAACTAATTTCGATAT